GATTTGGGGATCGGTCGGGGGGCGATAGCCCGGCGGAGGGGGAGCCGGCGCGGCAGGAGGAGGAGGGAGCGATGAGGATGGCGGAGGAGGCGGCGGTGGAGGAGGGCCCCAGCCGGGGGGAGGAGGTGGTGGAAATGACATCTCGACTCGATGATAAGACTCGTCTCGCGTGGGTGTGATATCGTCAAAGTCGAGGAGTCGCAGGCGCGACTTTCAAGACGCGAAAGTCGTTTCAGGTGTCGCAAAGCAGTTGTACTCGATTCCGGAAACCGATCGAAGCTGCCTGCAGATGAAAAGTTGATCGACTGGTCCCGCAAAAGTTCACAGCGATGACCGGTGTCGCGAGGGTGTTGAAATTAGGCGTTGTTTGATGAGTTCATCGACACAATAAACCTCGCCGCGCCAGCGAATTTTTTGGGTATGCAGCTCTCCCCCGGGGCGAAGAGAGATAATTGCGCTAAGCCTGTTTGGGAGCGACTGCCTCACGTGAGAACGCGAGCTCCTGCAGCGGGGAACGGCCGTACTAAAGTCCGGCGGAAGCACTTGCCAGGTGGAAAACGGCGGGGTGTATCGGGCCAGGTTCAGGTTTAGTGGAGCCATCAGTTTGAACCTGGAAGGTGGCGTTGGCTGGTGGCTTGACTCTGGGTGAGTCGAGGCAGGAGTGACTGGTAGGCTTAGTCACCCCTCCACCACGGTGCACTCACACCCAAGACTCGTATCTCCGTCGCGGCGGCGCACACAGTCACCAAAAGACAGCTTGGAGCCTGAAACTTTTTGAGGTGGAGTCATCACACTGCCACCTGCCAGCATTCTGGTGTACCGCTGCTCGCACCAACCCTTGCAGTCACCGCAAGTAGCCCACACCCCGCTGCCAGCTGCAACCCGGCTTGCCAGCTGTCTTTCGCTAAACCCCAAAATCCCCCACCAAAATTCAAATTTCTTTATCACAATTTGAGCCCCTCTCGAGGTTGACCCAGCCCGTGACAAGTCATCGACGACAACAACCTCCCGTCCACCCCCGCGCTTATAGTCGCATCACCAAACCCGTCGTACGAACGATCCGATAGCGATAGCCCAGCATGTCTCGCTTTTTCCGCGGCGGAGACGACAGCTCCACTGACTCTTCCTCTGACGAGGAGGAGCTCTACTCCGAGGAGGAGGAGGAAGAGGAGGAGCAGGGCCAGGAGGACTCTGATGAGGAGGAGGAGGACGACGATGACGACTCCGACGACTCCGACGACAGCGAGGGAGGTCAAAAGTCCGGCGCCAACCGTTTCTTGCGCGATGCTTCCTCGGAAAGCGAAGACAGCGATGATGAGGAGCGCGTAAAGGTCAAGAGTGCCAAGGACAAGCGCATCGAGGAGCTCGAGGCCACCATCAAGCTCATCGAGAACGGCCAGAAGAACGGCGACTGGGCCTCCATTTCCACAGGTGAGACGCGATGGGGAATTTGCGATGCCGGAGAACACGTGCTAACGTGACGATGCAGAGTTCGACAAGCTCAACCGCCAAGTCACAAAGCTGCAGGATGCCGGCAAGACCCCCAAGGTCTACATCAAGACGATTGCCGAGTTGGAGGATTACATGAACGAGGCCGTCGCCAAGCAGAAGGTCACCCCCAAGAAGATGAACGCCACCGCCGCCCGTGGATTGAACGCCGTCAAGCAGAAGATCAAGAAGATCGTCAAGGACTTCCAGACCCAGGTCGATGCCTACCGCGCCGACAACGATGGCTTCATGGAGTCCGAGGAGGAGGAGGAGAAGCCTGCACCCAAGGCCAAGAAGACTGCCCGCTTCGTCGATACCCCCGAGGATGCTCCCGCCGGCGACGACGACGAGGGCTTCGCCACCGTCGGAAAGGGCGGTCGCACCCTGCAGTTCACCCCCGAGAGCATCTTCAAGCACCTCCGCAGCATCATGGAGACTCGCGGAAAGAAGAACACCGACAGACAGGAGCAGATCAAGATCATGGAGAAGCTCTACGAGATTGCCAACACCCCCTACCAGCAGATCCGCGTTCTCCTGACCCTGGTATCAACACGCTTCGACCTTGGTGCTGGTGGCGCTTCCTACATGCCCCTCGAGCACTGGAAGGCCGCTGAGAAGGAGCTGACTTTGCTCATCAACGTTCTCGAGGCTAACACTGACTACGTCGTTGTCGAGAACGCCGAAGAGTGGGATGACGACGAGAAGCCCCCTGTCCTGGAGAAGGGCCAGAAGTACATCAAGGTCCCTGGATCCATCGTCTCCTACGTCGAGCGCTTGGACGACGAGCTCACCCGCTCCCTCCAAAACATCGACCCCCACACCTCCGAATACATTGACCGGCTGACCGACGAGGGCGCTCTCTACAACACCGTCTTCCGCGGCCAGCTCTACTACGAGTACCTCCGCAAGGATGCCGACCTCGACATTCCTCAGGAGAGCATTAACCGTATCGTGACTCGCCGTCTCGAGCACGTCTACTTCAAGGTATGTTCAGGAAGTGTAACTCGTCATCATGCATTCACTAACCCCATTCTTCAGCCCGCCCAGGTTGTCAAGATCCTCGAGGACAACTGCTGGAAGACGGTCAAGGACACCGTCGAGTCCACCATCCCCCCCCGCTCCCAGTCCCAGGAGGCCGGAAACCTCGTCAACGTTCTCTGCAACTACCTGTTCAGCAATGCCGAGGGTATCCTCCGTGCCCGCGCCATGCTGTGCCAGATCTACTTCCTGGCCCTGCATGACGAGTACTACAAGGCTCGTGACATGATGCTCATGTCCCACTTGCAGGAGAACATCCCCAACTTCGACGTTACCTCCCAGATCCTTTACAACCGCACTCTCGTACAGGTCGGTCTCTGCGCTTTCCGCAAGGGTCTCGTCTACGACGCCCAGAACACCCTGCAGGAGATCTGCGGCAGTGGCCGCCAGAAGGAGCTGCTCGCTCAGGGCGTCATGATGCAGAGATACAACCAAGTCTCACCAGAGCAAGAAAAGCTGGAGAAGCAGCGCCAGCTCCCCTTCCATATGCACATCAACCTCGAGCTGCTCGAGTGCGTCTACCTCACCTGCAGCATGCTCCTCGAGATCCCCCTGCTGGCGCAGACCGGCTCCTCCCCCGACGTCAAGAAGCGCGTCATCAGCAAGACCTACCGCCGCATGCTCGAGTACCACGAGCGCCAGATCTTCACCGGACCCCCCGAGAACACGAGAGACCACGTCATGCAGGCCTCCAAGGCTCTCGCGGCCGGCGAGTGGAAGAAGTCGACCAACTTCATCCACAGCATCAAGATCTGGGACCTCATGCCCAACACAGAGGACATCAAGACGATGCTCGCCAAGCAGATCCAGGAGGAGGGTCTGCGGACGTACCTCTTCACGTACGCGCCCTTCTACGACACCCTGGCGGTCGAGACGCTCAGCAACATGTTCGAGCTGGACGCCAGCAAGGTCCTCGCGGTCGTCAGCAAGATGATCAGCCACGAGGAGCTCGCGGCCTCCCTGGACCAGGTCACGTCGACCGTCATCTTCCGCAAGGGCGTCGAGCTCAGCCGTCTGCAGAGCCTGGCCCTCGCGCTGTCGGACAAGGCAAGCGCGCTTATCGAGACCAACGAGCGCACACTGGAGCAGCGCACCCAGGGCTCGGCCAACGCGTTCGAGAGACAGGGCGGACGCGGAGGTCGCGGCGGCGGCAGGGGTGGCGCGCGGAGAGGAGGCGGCGGCGGCCCGAGGACGGGCGGCAACACCCAACGGCAGGCCGGCGGTACTCAGTTCACGGGCGGCGCGTTGGGTGCCGCGGTTCGGGGTTAAAGGGAAGAAATGGGGAAACGGGCAAACTTTTTCTCTCTCACGCTTGTATCTGCATTACGGTTGGTTGCTTTTAATTAAAATTACCGGCCGCGGGGTTCAGAAAGATCACGAGTCCTGGTTGGTGAGGTGTTTGTAGCTTCAGGGAATAGAAGCTGATAGAGTCATGATGTATATGACCCGTGTTTCTGTGACGTGTGTGTGTACTAAGTGATGGTTCCGTTCGTGATGTTTTGACTCTGATGTGCTGCTTCACGTGGCCTTTTCCGGCTGTAATCCAGATTTGCCACTTACCAGAGGATTCAGTCCAAGCATCGAAGGTCCTCTCGTCCGTGAATGCCGGCACCAAGACTGTGCGGAGCGGAGCAAAGCGGAGAAAAGCCGGACAGCCACACCGTACCGCGCGCGCGGCACACTCGCCCCAAACCCCCAAGAGCGAGGTCGCGCGCGATACGGGGGCGTGTGGATGTGGCGCACCCGCCCGGCTTTGAAAGAGCTGAGTAAGAAGATGACATTGAACTGACCAACCAAGCGAGGCGCATTTGAAAAATTTCCAGACTTGGATGGAGCAAGGAAGAAAAGAGGGCGGAAAAAAGCTGAATATTTTGACAGCTTAGGGATGAACAGATAGAATCTCTGTCTTTGGACATTAAGATATTGAATCCTGAAGGCTCAGATTGTGTGAATATGCAACACGGCAAAGCTCATGAGTGACAAATCTGACGGCTCCAATTCGTCCCAACGCCACATTTTGGCCCGCGCGTCTAGGGTCTTACCACCCGCGCGGTGTACTTCCTGGCAGCCCCTCCCCTCCAGGGTCCAAAGCAGTGACAATTGTCCGATCTGACGGCTGCTCTTCGTTGTCCGAGAGGGACCGACCATTTCTGGAAACAGCTTAGCATACCCGCCGCGCGGGCGAACTGGGGCCAAAGGGAAGGGTTCGTCTTTCTTCGGGTCGCTATTAAAAAGTTGGAGGCGGGCGCGTCTCTTCTTATGTTGCCATTCTTCTCTTAGACTTTTCCCTCCAACAAGACATGAAAACGGCTGCCCTGTCCAAGAGGATTTTGTCGAATACTAGTCGCATAGTTCATCCCAACCTCTGCCGCAACAACAACTACCCCGGACAACTCAACTCTGCCCTGTTGGACAGACGCAAACCGTGGCCGCCGTCTAGGTTGTTTCCAGATATCCGCAAGTCGTGTTTTACAATGTCGTCGAGCGCCGCAGAGCAACAGCCCCAAGAGGCTGCTGCCACTGCTACACCAAAGGCACAAGAGACCTCCGCCGCCGCGCCGGCAGAGCCTGCGCTACCCCCGTTGTCGCCGGCCGAGTTTAGAGTGTACAACCAGATGGCGGAGAAGATGGATTACTTTGTAAGTTGGACGAAAACACGCACAGATCCTCTCCGTTACCTTTGCTTGGAGCTTCGTAGTACCCCGCCACCGTCGACCCCCGCCATCACCAAGTTTCTTTACCTCACCAAATTACATCCTCCTCCTGTCATGGGCATGCGCTGACCACAATGCTACCCAGCACAACCACTTCCGCGCGCAATGGACAATCCTGCACGACGCCGCGACCTCGGGCCGGCGCCCGCGCAACATGTCGCTCAAGCAGTTCATCGACACAGGGCTGCAGTTCGCGCAGCACCTGACGGCGCACCACGGGATCGAGGAGCGCTTCGTGTTCCCGATGCTGGCGCGGCGCATGCCCGAGTTCCGCGCGGGGCGCAATGCGGACGCGCTGCTGCAGCAGCACCGGCAGATCCACAAGGGCATGGACCAGTTCGAGGCGTACCTCAAGGCGTGCCGCGCGCGCGAGACGGAGCTGGAGCTGGGCGTGTTGCGGGAGAAGATGGACAGCTGGGGCGAGGTGCTGTGGACGCACCTGGACCAGGAGGTCAAGACGCTCGGGGCGGAGAACATGAGGCGGTATTGGACGATGGAGGAGGTGAGGAGCATGCCCATGTGAGCGAGCGCGTGGGTGTTGGAAAAGAAGAAGAGCATAGCGTGGTGTTGAGAAGCAAGAGAAAATGTCATGAACATATCTGAGAACTCGTATTTACTTCCGGCGGGCGGTGTTCTGGCGGCACCGCGCGGATGATATCTAAATGGTAAGAAAATTAAAGTCACTGCATGGCCACATACCCGCATGGCCTCGTCTATCATTCTTGTAATGTACCTTTCCTTCCATATCCCGTCTAAGTGACCTTCTCTTGCTCCGAATCATATCCCCTTCTCCTCTTACGCGTTCGCAGTCTCCTTCCACAGCTGCCGCATCTGCACGATACCAGGAATGCTCCCCAGCAGCCCGATGCCCATCTCCGGCACGAAGCCCTTGTCCATGCTCCAGTGCACCGTGAGCGGGAACCACGCGGCCTGCCTCGCGAGGGTGCGCGACCACACGCCGAGCTCGTCCTGGTACTCGGCGCTCGCGACGTCGACCTTGCCCTCGCGCAGGGCCTTGCGGCGGCGCAGGTACTCGACCGCCAGGCGGCCGAGCTCGCTGCCGACGTAGCAGGACCAGAAGCGCACGCTCCAGCGGGCGGCGAAGCCCTGGCGCGCGGGGGACATGGGCAGGACGCCCTTGGAGGCGAGGTAGGAGGCGCTCTCGAGGGACTGGAGGAGGATGCAGACGGTGACCTGGAACCAGGAGATGAGGCGGTCGAGGGCGGCGCCGGAGGCCTCGTCTTTGGCCTTCTCGTCTGCGGTTTTTGCGGCGAAGGACGTCTTCATGAGGCGGCGCAGCCAGAGGTACATGGGCAGCAGGGCCCAGAGGCGGGTGATTGTGCGGGCCTCGGAGGTGAGGGTCGCGAGGGCGCGGAGGTGGCCGGCGGTCTGCTGGGCGAGGGAGGCGGCGGGGGAGGACGGGGGCGCGGTGGAGAGGAGGATGGTGGCGTCCTTGGGGAGGGAGAAGGCGAGGGAGACGAGGCGGCGGGCGGAGCGGCGCAGGGAGGAGGTGTAGAGGGACTCGAGGGCGGAGGCGGAGAAGCGGGAGGTGTAGCAGAGGAAGCAGAGGACGGCGTCGATGCCGGAGGGGGTCGCGAAGCAGCGGGTGAGGTGGGCGACGAAGGCGTCGACGTTGGAGGGGGAGAGGGCGAGGAGGACGCGCAGGGGCAGCTGGGGCGGGCGCGGTTGAGGCTGTTTTGAGGATGCGGCGGCCGGCGCGGGAGGAGGGACGATCGGGTCGCCGGAGGGGAGGTCGGAGACGACGGGCGCCTGGTCTGCTGTTTCTGTTTCTGTCGACATGGTTGCGGTGGTGATGGCCGTCGACGGCAGACGCCTCTCTCTCTCTTGCTGTGTGGTTGTGTGTGTGAGGAAGGCTGAGGGAGAAAAGAGGAGAGACAAGAAAAAAAAAGAGCTCAATGCTGGGATGTTTCCAGGGTTTGTGGAAAGCGTTTGGAGCTCGGTGTCGGTGGTAAAAAAGCTTTGGCCCGAGGATCGGAAGACGAGGAGGGATTGTGGGCTCTCGTTCGACGTTTCGATGGATATCGATAGCTTTGGGGAGCAAGCACACGACGTAAGGTGTGGAGGTCGTCGGTGTGAGGCCGAAAATTGACGCAATTCTGGGGGAAGACGTCGTCGCCGGTGGGAGTTCTCGTAAAGGCGTTGAAAAAGAGAAGAGAGAAGCAGCAGCTCTTTTTTGGGTGGACCTTAGAAAAACAAAGCTTTGCTGCAGAAAGGAATTCAACCGTTGTTCAAATTAGCCATGTTCATGCGCCGAGGTGGATGCTGATTGACTGGACTCGACGGGGGGTGACCAGCCAGCAGGTGTCGCCGTGTCGGTAAAGATGCACGCGGGAGGCTGGGCGAGAGCTGGGTTTAGAAGAGAGTTTCGGCAGGAGCACACCACTGACGGCACAGGTGACACAAGCCGCAGCTGCAGCGGCGCTGGCCGTAGGTAGGTAGGTTTTTGCCGATGTGCCGCGGCGTCTGCCGTCCTTCCATCGTCCATAGTAGTGCAGCAAGGCCAGCGGACGGGATGCGATGGGAAGGGATGCAGCGGCAGCGGGAAATTGACCCTCCCACCGTTTCCGTGACCTCGGTACTTTTTACTTTCGGCAACCGCGGCGGGGTCCCCAGATTTGAGACCGTTATCAGATGGAATTTCTGTTGGAGGCTCACCGTGCTGCATCGCCCTAGTTTAGGTGCCTGACGGTCGCTGAGCTGGCTTGGAAAGCAATTCAGATTGATTGGCCCAACGAAATAACACTGCTGCATTCACAAATCACTGTCGGGTGATGTCCCGACAGTTGGATGAGCGCAAGATGTATTTGCACATGCACTGTGGAAACCGTCAATTGGACTTGACCGTTTCCCCCGAGTGGAATTATCTTATCCATCCATCTAATGATCTAATCGCCGAACATCTCCACTTTGGGAAATATTTTTTATAGTGGATTTTGTCCCTTCCAAATCGGAAGGGCTCCCGATCCGTGCGAGTTCGATTGACAGCTTGTCAACGTTGACACCCGCAGGTTCCATCAGCCCAATCTCTATCCCGAGAGCCTCTGTATCGAATAGAATTGAGTTGAATATCAACTTTGTCAAATGGGCTGAGTTGGAAGGTTTGGAACCAACTGGGCCCCAGATCTTTCTCCGCCAGAAAGGCAATTTCATGACAAGTTGAACATCGCATACGTCAAGATCAATGGTCCAATAAACTGTAGGGCGTAAAGAACATCCATTTAGAAACGGGCCTATGTGCCACCCCTGATCCGCTACCCGTTACCCCTTGGTGTACTTGTTGAGGGTTCCTCTTCTAGCCAAGAACATTCTTTTCACTTAGCCCTCAATCCACTAGAGCTAAAAGCGCCCTTCAAGTTATAAGAGTTGTAGTTACGAGGGTTTTAGTTATTTAGTTCCAGTATGAGGGCTTTAGGTGTTGAGGGCTTAAATAATGACTCGGGCTTTTCCACTGAGTGCGAGTTAACGCAAAAGAAAAAAAGGAAAGAAAAAAACAAGAATTAAAAGACCCTGTTTCTCCATATTCCCGAAGAATGAGAACCTTTGAATGGCTTAAGTGAATTATCAGTGTAATTCACTGTTTGCTGATTGGACTCCTCCGCACCTTGACGAAATTTGCGTCAAATCACACTAAATGGGGTAAGGGCTGCCCTAGCTGTGAGGGCTCTGCTAGCTCTGATGGCTCTGCTAGCTGTGATGGCTTTGAAGGCTGTGAGTGCGTCGGAGGCTCTGCAGGTGGTGATAGTCTCTAAGGGGGGGGCTTCTGCTTATTTTCTACTAGCCATATAAAGAAATTGTGGCTTCCTAAGACTTACGGAGGGATGCTGCCTCAGGAATGACGAACAACGGGTTAAGGTTAGTAAATGATTGGCCCTTTGGAACATGCATATCTCTATATACCTAATAGGATCTTGCGCATCCAGCCACGGTATCTCGTGGTGCTCATTTTGACAAATCGCGAGTAAAGCTCTAGGCCACTGATTATGCTTGCCTTCGAAGGCGCATGAGGTAGAAGCCGTGACCGAGGCTGTGTAAGGCAAAAGTGCCATGCAGTCTTACCTAGACCTCAAGGCTCGCGGCGGTGGACGAATGAATGAAGGAGCTGCTCCCCCAAGTCAGCATTTAATTTTAGCCAAAACGCCTACGATTGCTTGGCAGCTTGTGTAACTCTTGAACGACCCATGGATATCTAGCTGAGAACATAGTCTTGGCAGTATTCTGAGTTCCTATTTAAATGTGCGGCCTCGTTCCGAAATCAAGCATCGCGATGGCGGTAACACTGCGTGACTTATTCTCTTGCCTTTGTTACAGTAATCGACGTCGTACAATAGCGTATGTGTGGTATTATTTTGGCTGACTTCCGAAGTTTTCAATCTTGCTGCCGAGTTATAAAGTCAACAATCCCTTCGCCACGCAAACCTCTTACTATTTGATGATGCATCACCATGCAAACCACGAATTAGCCCCGAATGCCCCATCGGAGATTGAAGAGACCCAGCAAGCTAGCAGCAAACCAGTTCGAGGCAATGCCGAGCAAATATCGCTGCTTGAAAATTTGCTCGATGGGGTCAAAGAGGACAAAACGATGACGTCCGACGAAACGCCCAACGGCTTAAGCTTGCTTATCAAAGCTGGCATGTTCATCTCCCTCATCTCAATCGCAGCGGCATTCACTTTTATTACCTGGCTGTGGTGGACCCCACAGGACAACGATGTCTGGCGTTCGTGGGTGCTTGCAAACCGCCTTCAGTCCAGTGTCACTCTAGCCTCGGTCATAATTCGTACTGCGGTCGGCACTCTTGCTGCTACAGCTACGGCAATGATCGCTTCAGTCGCGGTTGAGCGTCGTGGTGTTCATCTCCATGCCATCGCCCAAGTTTCTGCTGCCCGGTTTTCCGGCAGCGGGCCCCTCTCGCTAGGGATTCTGGCACTGAGGCCGTCGAGACTCGACATGGTTGTTCGCTTGGTACTTATGCTTCTCATCCTAACAACTTTTGCAGTGCAGTTCATATCGACACTGCTTGTCTCTGATCTCCAGCAAGACGACAGCGCTGCCGCAAGTGCAAATACTTACCAACCCTTCTAAGTAAATCTAACTAAAGGGAGGCTATCGCTATACCTAATTAAGTAAGTTTATACCCCTTAATTAACTTAAATACCTTAATTAATTTAGATATTTATAGATCTAACTAATAAGAGGCTATAGATCTAACTATACTTTAGTTATTCCCTAATTTAGAAGTATACTTAGTTATTAGATTATATTATTATTACTAATATCACTATAATTATATATTTTAATAATATTCTATAAATTACTCTTAAAATATTAATTTTTAAGTAATACTTTTAAAAATCTTAAGAATTATAGAAGGCGTTAAAGTAGTTTAAATAATATATAGAATATTACGATTAGCTATTAATAGTAAAAGTTATTTATTACTTTAGATTATCTTTATTATTTTTATATAT